TTCCTCTTCGCCCGTCTACACTCCACGCCATTCCACACTATTAGTTAGTTATTGTCTTTATAGTTTTGAGTTTTTGTAGTGAGTTTAAGTGTGAATTCTTCTCTAAGAAGTGTTGGAGAGGAAGAGAAACGAGAGATTTCTTCTTCCTACATTTCCTAGGAGAGACTACAAGGGATTTGTTTTGAGAAAGAGTTTCAGATAAGTGTTATTTGTTTATTATTGTTGTATGAATTTTTTTTTATACATGAAATTGTACTTTGTTGTATTTTTCTCATGAAGTTTGAGTAGTTTCCTTTATCTTATAAATTGTAATGATTTTTCAACTCTGCTCTTAATTTAATTTTCGATCCGCCAATTAAATTGTTAAAATATGTTGTGAAACATATGATCCAGGAAATGGAATATGAGTTCTACAACAGAGTGAGAATCACAATTAAGTCCATGAAAGAGTATGAAAGAGTATTTCTATTTCGTTCATGGAATTAAGCGCAAATAAATAGGAAAATATATTTTGTTGGGTGTAGAATTGAAAATTATTTAGGGTGACATACTAAAAATCCTCAATTCGACCTTAGTGTTTAAAAACTAAAGCGAGAATTAGTCTTCAGGAGAAGGAAAGTGGGAGCTCTGGAGTGGGAGTTAGTATCCTCTTAGCCTAGCCACGGATTTAGGGACTAAACCTAAGATTAGCCAATGATTTTCTATAACACTGAATCAGGGTAGAGAATTAAAATTGCTCATATTTGACACAATACAAATTTGAACAATTTATCTCATCTCATTTCACCAAAAAACTCATTGTAGTGGGAAAGATGTTTTATAATATAAGAAATCTTCACCACATAAACATGGTTTAGTAGTTACTATTTTAAACTCTGCAGTTAAGTTTTGCTAGTAGTTAATAATTTAGTTTGGTTAGTATCTTACACATTGAAGATTAATGACAGTAATTTCGTTTGATTTTTATGAATTTTCTAGTTAATTTATCATTTCAAATTTAAACCTTCCTCGTGAGATTGATATTTGAGACTTAAACAGAATATCTTATATTACTTGATAATGATGGGTATACTTGTGTAGAATCTCAATCTCAAGTGCTTAAAGTTATTATTAATAAAATACCACATCAAGTTTTTGGCACTGTTGTAAAGCAAAGAGAACTTTATAAATTTTACACAACTATATTTCACCGGGATCACTCCACTTCTTCAAGAAGTATCTGGTGTAGCGGCAGCTCATACTTCACATATTGTATAACCTATTGTGGGTACTAATGTTGGTAATCCTTCTGCTTCTATTCTGCCCCATCAGGCAGATTCTTCGGAGGAATGGCAGGTTTACACTTCAAGGAGGAAGAAGAAGAATGGAGATCTACTAAAGCTCAGGAGTCTTATGGATGATACTTTGGTTACTACGGGTAATGGTCAGCACCTTACCAATCTACTAGCTGAATCCCTACCGAGAACTAGAGCCAAAGGCAAGACTAGATTGGGATGACCCACACATTTTCAGCGCTCGGATGATTTTTGGGTTTCTTTTTATTTCTATATGTACTCATCTTTTATATTTTTTTGTGTGTTGTACCGTGTGGGTTTGGTGTTTAGACCCACTCATACAAACCTATCTATATCTTTATCTTTAATATATCAGTCTTTGGGCTTTTTCAAAAAAAAAAAAAAGAATATATAAATATATATCATAAAGTGTTAAAATAGTGTCTGAACTATTTTCATGGGGTAATTTTAGTCTCAAAATCTAAAAAGTATCAAATTATTTCCCAGATTCTTTTAATATAAAATGAAATGTTCACTAAGGAGGAATAGTTCTAGTCTGGGAGTAAATTGACAAATTTATAGACACTAGGATTAAAATCACTCTCCAACAAAGAGTTAGGGGGTGTTTTTATACCTCCTCGCCGTCGGATACAGCCAACGGAAGAGAAGATCGCCTCAATGGGAGCCAACCCCTGAAATCTAGAATCAAAAAACACTACTTACCCCTAGGCAAAACATAGCATATATATAATAAGAATTGGAAGGGATTGGAATTTGGAAAGGAATAGAATTGAAAAATGGTAGATAATGTAGGGAATGGAATAGGAAGAACTCTCTATGGAAAGAAGTGGAATAAGAAAAGAGACAGGGAAAGGAAGGAATTAGAAAGCCAAGGAATAAATTCGGAAGATGGGAATTGAATAGGAAATCAGGGAAGGAAGTGTGGTAACTCCCGTTCTGTATGAAGCTAGGTAGGCCAGTCCAACAAAGGAGTTGACCAATTATTTTGTCCCACTCGGCTAGGGCACTAAGCACCGCATAATAAAATGATAGTGTTGCCTCTAGATGAGGTCGGTGGTGTGAAAGGTGAATAAGTGTGTTAGATAATCTCACTCCTTAAAAGGTGAAGGAACATGCACTAAACCCTATTTTCCTATTATTAGGAAATTGTTTGTATGTTTGACATATGATGGATAAATTTATCATATAGTCAAATGACCCCTGAATCTTAATAAGATATAGGAAAGGGAAGAATTATTTGAAATACTAAAATTCTAAATGTTGAAATTACTATTATTATGAGCAAGAGAGCAAAATTTGAATAGTTTTTCTAATGAATTGAGAAAGCTGCATAATTTCTCAATTTCTTCCCAACTGAGTTCTGACTTCACTAGACAGATTTATCATTTCTTATTTTGTATTATTTCCTTTATAGTCTTGAGACGTTTTCATGGAGTTTCCAATACTTATCCTTGGAGTGTCCTTTCTTCCTCTAGTAGTTGAACCAGAGATTACCTTTGACAAAAAAAATTTTGCCCTTCTTTTGAAGAAAGCTTTATGACAAAAAAATCTATTATCTTAGGATTCAAAGACTTTCAGCAAATATCTCAAGGTCTGAATCATTGTTCATCACTATCATTGTTCCTTCTTCTGCCTATATGAGAGAATATTTTATTTAGAGAAAAGAGATTTTTATTCTATTTCAGATTTGGATTAAAATTTGGCCAAATTCACTGTTCAATCCTACAACAAACTCAAAGAATCCCTCTTTTAATTATTTAAGAATCAATGCATCTTTACAGTATGACATCTTGATGTTTAGGTAGAGTCCAATTCCAACCAATAATTTTTATGGCATTAAAATATTTAATAATTGATAAGTTGTCTTATTTGATAGCAGTAAGTTTTGATCTCATAGATTAGTGTAGCTTCTTTCACCTTTAAGTAGATTTGTGTAATTGTATCTCAAACCTTTTTTTAAAGTTGACAGGAACATAAATGACTAATTGATCTCTAATAGCATGAATTTTTATGACCATATCATAATCATGAAATCAACTTCTTCTAAAAACACGAACTTTAAGTCTTTATGCTCCATATGTAGATCCATAATATGTTGAATCTTTCCCTTTTCAAGCAAAAATTCTAAACGATTAAGGACCATTTAAGGCAATTTTACTCATTCAAGCAATAAGATGCTTGAAATCCCTAAGATTCATCCTTGGTCTATATCTCATCATTTATCATAATTGATTCCATTGAAAGTAAGTCAAAGAACCCAAAGATAGTGAATAAAAGGAGAATCCAATAATAGGAATAAGGTTGTAAGTGAGAACTCTAATATTAGAGACAAAATGTTAGAAAAAAACATAAACTTGCTCAAAAAACATATAGAAAATAAAGTAATGGAGGAAAATACTTTAACTTAATTGTTGTTTTTTCTACAAAAAGGATGTATATATACCTCCAAAAGGAATTATAAAATAGGGATAAATAAAAAAAAAAAAAGTGTAATATAAGGGATCATGGGAAGGGATTCAGTGGGGTTTTTACAATAAAAAGGGACCAACAACCCTATAGGAAAGCACATGAATTGCAATCCGAGTGCTATAAAGAAATTGATCCAATAGTATAAGGCCTTGATACATGTGCCTTAAACTATAGGCTTTGACTGGAGAATGAGTATCCTTCATGATGGAAGAGAGAGGGAGGGGGAGAACAAGGTTAATACTATGGTAGCCGAACATCATAATAGAAGTTCAACAACTACCTCATGTTAAACTAAATTATGAGGTTGTTACATAAGTTGATAAAAATTTCCCTAATCATATCTTAACGGTGAACACCAATTTTCTCTACTTCAGTCATGAAAATTGAAATAAAGATTGAAATAGAAACTATGCTGTCTAGTTTCAAATCAGTGAAATAAGCAATTTGAGATTGTAACTCGCATCAGCATCAACAACATTAGTGTTGAAAAATTATAGAAGTTGAAGCATAAGTTCAAATTGGAAAATAAATGCATGGTAGACCGACATTAGAAAGCAATTTGACTACCATGGATCTGATATTGCTGGTTCAATCTTATGAGACAAACAAGAGTAACATTTATTTAGCCAAAGCACATGCCATTGAAGTGCATGATGAAATGGGGCCCAAAAAATTGGGTAATTAGTAAAGCTAATCAGGAGAAAATTTATCAGAATCATAATGATACGAACTATGGTTACATTATCCAGTTACAGAAGAAGACATCATTAAGACATAATATATGCATACAAGTTTATGGAAATTTCTTAAAACCTAGGCTTCAGTTGCTATGTGATGAGCAAGCATGCATTTACAAATTTTACACGTCTGTTAATTTAATTTAATGCTCAAACGAAAGACAAAGTTATAGTTAAACAAACTTAAGACATGCATATCTCTGTGAATAATACCTACATACATACTCAAAGACTAGTACATTGAAGTTGTCCGACATGATAGTAAGAGAATAGTCATATATCTAAGAAAAGTGTTGAATAAGAATACAGCACCACTCAATGTGTCCCCGAAATTTAAACATCACAATCACTATACACAGGGGCCTGCGGCAATTATTAAATAGATGGAAATCCAACCGAGTAAACTTTTGTGCGAACCTATTGTTTTAGAAAGTTGGCTAAATTAATCCAACAATGCTACAAAGAGGTCATCGATTAATTAGCAAGTGGCAAACCTTACCTGAAGAAATAAATCCGTGTGCGTTTTTCCGTCATAAAGAACTACTGTGGCTTGAACACCTATACTTTGAAGTGCTTCGGCAAAAGTGGTGCTGTGCAAAAAGTTGAGATCAATAACTGGTTTAATAAAGCTTAGACTTAAATAAACAGATTTTTCCTTAAAAGGTGATAGAGAAAGCAATTTCCAATGTTGGAGGAAAGAAACAAAGATAAATAAAATGATGTGCTGAATTAAGTATATAATGCAAAAGTGGAAAAGATGAAAACTAAAAGGGAAATTCAAGGAAGTTCACTTCATCGTAGTTAAAAATGAATGTAAAAATCACATTCATACAAAACTTACAACCGACAGGACCATGTACATGCTTCTTATATCATGTATCAATCGTGAACACATAAATAAGAGGCTCTAATACAACTAAAAATACAACTAAAAATATCCACTAAGAACACATTGGCATGCATCAACCTGGATAAGAATGGGAAATAGAAGCATCTTATCCACAAGATCAAACAACCCCAACAGATTAGTGTGTTAGTTAATGTATCGTCCCATCCTATTTTAAGATTTCTTGTTTTCGATAGAATTACACAACAAACTATTTCTATGTTCAACGTTGTGGGTGTGCTCCATTAATTACCTAAGGGGTTAATTAGTTTATGAATTTCAACAAAATGTGATTTACTTGAGGTACCATAAATGAGAAGCTAAGAACTGCATATAAATGATTTTAAATTCATTAAATAAATGTTTAGGAATAGGATATGGCACTGCTTAGACAGGTAGCTCAATTGATTTTCAAACAAATTCACATTTTAAGTTACATATAGAAATCAAAAGGCATTACCATGTTCAAAATGATGTGAGTGCAGTAGGCTCCAAAGTGTATAGATGCTTATCTGAGCAGTTTTCTGTAATAAACGTATTGCAGCTCCAGAAAAGAAAATGCAACAGAATTTGTTTTTTATTTTTTTAATAAATCATCAGCTTGTTCTAAAACGAGGACAGATCATACCAATTGTTAAATCACTATATAATTTTTAGTTTTTAGGTACAAAGCATGGTAAAGAATGTTCAGAATCCGGATATGGAAAAATAAAATTATAAAACATTTGCCGAAAATTTTCTAATAGTACATCCGACCCATGCCTCAGGCATAACATTACATGGTCTAGGGAGGGGACTGAAGTATGTTATGTTAGCCTCAATCGGCAGAAACGATGTTTCCATGGTTTGAACATGTGACCCCCATGTCTCATTGTAAGCAATCTAACTATTGCTCCAAGCCCACCAACAATTTTGACGCTTATGAAAAACTAAAAAATTGTTCCAACATTCAAAATAAAATAAAGAACTTCTAATGTTGACTGCATATTAAACAATTTAGAGTAGGCTCTTTGATTCTTTGGTTTTCAGGTCCTTTCTATGATCAATTTTACGAATATACAGAACTTGGCTAAATCATACATCTTCTTCAGCAGCCTGCTAATATATCATTGACTAGAGAGAATCTAATATATTAATCCACATAGTAATCTTAAATTAAAATACAGGTAGATCTAACCTAGCATCTGATGGTATAGAATAATCACTTTTTCCATGAAACAGTATTATGGGAGGCAGCGGTGGAACATCCGATCTGTTAATCAAGTTCCTCACAACAATTTCAGGTGAAAAATGCGGCAAGGATTGCTCCCCTTCCATTATGCTACAATAAAGAAATCCAAGAGGTTAAAAGATCTCCAAAGCAATTTAAAATAAGAAAATTACAATTGAAAGCTCATATTGTAAAATATGAAAATAAATACCTGAGGAAAATAGAGCGGTATAGGCCACGCCTATCGAAATGATCAACTAAGTTGAGCATATTGTACCTAATTATTAGAATTTTTTAATGTGTTAACAAAGATAACAAATGCCTTCTGAAATCGTAATATATAACAAAGATGGATATCAAAGAACTCAAAGAGGAAAAAACTAGAGCATTAAGTCCTATAGCACCAGCATTAGTTACTGCCCACGTGCATGCTATATAAGAATAGATTTAAACCCAAGAAAGCGGGTTGGAAGCTCATAGTCATCATTAGTAATAACTATCCTCAAACCTTCTCAGGTTTGAAGATTCATACCTAGCTTCTGAAACATCATCATTCATTTTGCAAAACCTGGGTAACTATTATAATTTTTAATGTGTTCAAATTAAGTATATAAGTCTCTATTGAATGTCACATGCACAAATAGTGATAAAAAATGTGGCAGCAGCTGCAAGTCCTATGTTTGTCGTGCAGGATCCATTTCATAAAAGCAATTTATTTACCGAAAAATCTTGTATTTCAAAATTATTTTTCAGTAACTGCACTAGTTCAAAGCATTGCAATTTTTCTGATAACTGTAGAACTTGATACTAATATAGCCAAGGAAGTTATTCCAAGCAATTTGAGCATGGTTAACCAATCAAACAAGCCAAATCGGTAGACCAAAAAAAACATTAGGTCAGTGTACCATCAACCATATAAGCCAAATGCAAACCCAAACTAATGTAGGACATGATTGCTTAATGCAAAGCAGGATTACACGATCTCTCGTGATTGCGGTATCGGATGGACGGGGATTCTGTCCCAATTGCACTGTAGCAGCATTTTTCCCGCCTGTTGCAGCCTCCAACCCTTACTGGCCTCTGTTATAGGATAGCCCAAGAAGCTATTCGAAGCAAGCTGAGCATGGTTAGCCAATCAACCAAGACAAATTAGTAGATCAAAAAAAACATTATGTCACGGTAGGATCAAGCATATCAAGCAAAATGCAAACCCAAACTGATGCACATCGTGATTGCGGAAAGCAAAACAGGATTCCACTATCTCCCGTGATTGCGGGATCAGACAGATGGGGATTCCATCCTGATAGCACTGTAGCATGAGTTTTCCCGCCTACTCCTGCCGCCAAACCCTACTTGATTTGAATAGAATTTGGTTTTATTCTGCGTGGAACTATTTATATATTGCTATTTTTTTTATTTTAGGACTTTGCTTTGTATATTTGGAGATTTTATTATCTGATTTGGGCTCTAACGCGATATCCCTATTCATTTTGCAACTGATGTGTTTGTAACTTGTTCAAGAATAGGAGATGAATCTCCCTTGGCAACCATGCCTCGTCAAAGCTGGAATTTCATGGTTCTCTGCTGTTTTCAGCCTAGACTGTCGCTGAATGCCTCCTGTCATCGTTGAGCATGCATATTCTCATTCTCTTACTATTCTACAAGCATCTCCCCACTAGATCCCCCTCTTAAATGCCTTCTAGGACCCTAGAACGGTGTCAAAAACTCAAGCCAAATTCAAACCCAACCTTAGACCAAGCTAAGCCCAAATGGTTCCTTGGATCCATGGAGTACAAGAGGCTACCTGACAGCAGAAAGCTACAAATTAAAATCAAGGGGGGCTAAAGTCACATTCCAAATTACAACACTAATTCTTTCATGTTTAGGAACTTCTCAATATATACGTGATTAATTCATCAATTCATGGCTGCAATGAATCATAATTCCCTGCACTAAATGTCTCTTATTTTCATGTTTTATACTTTTATAACATGTTATGTAATGTGTAGTGGACATGTACTGGATTATATAAGAGTATGCACGTTATTTTTTTCCGTTCATAAAATAAAACTTCGGTTTTTTTTTTTTCCTAACCTTGATGTTGTTCACACTATATTGTTGACTTTCAAAAAGGAGTAAGAAACACCAGGGAGAATAACTAGGCGTGACTTGTACAGTTTTGCATTTTATAATTTTGGGAACTTGTATAGACTTCTGGGTACATGCTTTTATTATGTTGGATTTAGCAACTCTGTATAGATACATATATTTAATGAAATGATTTCCACACTTTTAAGTGTAGGTCCATCTGAATGAATTATGAAATAAAATGTATCAAGTATGTTTGCGACGATTTAATTAGACAGTGTAACAATGACACTTTTAAGTGCAGTTCATCACCCACTGGGTCTTAATTCTTCAAGTCAGGATAGGCGCGTGTGAAAATTTAGTCTGACTGAATCTTGTGACAGTGTCACACCTTAACCGACCTAAAAGCAGGGCTATTAGATAAAAAGGATGATGGAAGCACGTTGAATTTAAAAATAAGAATGAGATTAAATATAAATTAATTTATATAGTCATAAGTTGATGAATCTAATGTAACTCCCAAAATTTAAGAAACTAGGTAAGTGTTTGGCAATTTTAGAATGTATGTTAAAATTTGCATCTCTCGAAATTAAATTTAAGCAATTTTATAAAATTTTACGCGTTGAATCAATCAATTTGATATATAGCACCGAGCATGAATTTTGAATGCATGAGAAGATACAAATATATGGAGTATAAGCTTAATTAAATCATACTTAACCCTTAATTTTATCATTAATCCTGCATTCATACTGTTCCAAACTGCCCTATTTTTGTGATTCTCAATCGGAAGATTCGATCGAATGGTTGAGATAGGATGGGGATCATGTTACATGCCGCACCCACCTCCCCTCTCCTGATTCTTCCCGCGAACTCCAGCGATCAGGGCACTGTAATTGCACGAATTGTGCGACCCGTAGGGAGCCACAACTCAAGGCAGTCTCGGGAAGAAATCCAAAGGTATGAAACTCACTTTAGCGATATTTGTCATCTTTCCTTACGTTTTCATTTTGAAGTTAGCTATAAATCAGCGTCCTTTTTCGTTTATGATAGCTATAGCGGAGATGAACTTGTGTCGGAAGCGACAAACATGATTTGTGGGCATTTGTATAGGTCTTTAGCCAAAAATCAGCGAAATTAAGGTGATGTAGAAAGATGGAAGAAGAATAGGTAGGATCGAGAAAAGATTGGTTATGCCGAGAAGCTCTTTTCAGATTAGAATTCTTGAATGACTTGTTTGGGGTTAACTCATGGGTTAAGCAAAAATTTCATAAACTAATAAGATGTCTACGAATTTCAGGTTGTTTATATTAAACTGCGAACTCGAGGCGAGCGTGAGAAAACACGTCGTAGAGCAGCTCCGCTAATCCATATAAAATAATTATGTACTAATTTAAAAAAAATAAATCTCATTTTCATGTGATTCTATGTTTATCACTATTGCATTTTAAATTATTTGTGCATTATTGATGAATATTTGTATTGGTTGTATGAATGCAAATTGACTGCACCTTCGATAAATGTGATTTTACTATGACATGAATATTTTTATGAAATCATTTCTTACAGATATTCATTTGTTGTGATTCATACATATTATAAATGAAATGTCTATGATAAATGTTTGTTATAGCAATTATGATTTAAGAAATATCATAAGTGATATTATAGGTAATTTATTACATGAATACTTGCAAGTACGGATGATCGGGAATGGTGGGAGTCCCGACTTCTGCTATTCATGCGGTGATGAAACTCTGGGAACCATTGGGATAAGACTGCGATGGAAGACAAAAAATCGTTAGTACTAGAGGCTATTGATAGTCGTTGTGTTGGGTGTCAGCCTTTTTCAATAAATAAAGTAACAATCGAGCTGGGTGACAACCCAATGACATGACATGTAAATAGTTGAGGCCTATACAATTACAAGTGTCATTCTTATGATAAGATTGATGATTATTATGAACAAGCTTATGCCTATACATGAATGAATGCATTACATGTTTTATATAGCAATCATGAGTTCCTTCATTATTTACTTTTTTTTGCATATTTTATACGATTCAATTATGTTGTGACTTGTGTGTAGACATGTATAGTTACATATGACCATGCACGTTATTTCTTTTTAGTCTACCAAATTTTATTTTCGCCTTGATTATTTCACTGAGTTCTTTGTTATTCACTCTACATTATTGACTTTCAAGAAAGTATAAGTACTAGAGCAAGTAATAAGGTGTGACTTGTATAGCTTTTGCATTTAATAATTTTTGGAGGTTATATAAACTTTTGGGTACATAATATTATTATATTGAGTTTGACAGCTATGTATATATATATTTGTGAGTGTGCGTTCCGTAACCTATGGTAGAGCAACCTCTTTGAAAGTCATAAGTCCCCTCAGGTCACGGGTTCGAATCCCCCCGTGCGTAGAATGTGGTACTCGAATATTTAGCACACCTAGGGATGGCCAGAGCTCGTCTAATTGCCTCAGGCCATTCCTTTAAAATAATATATATATGTGTGTGTGTGTGTTAGAAAAAGTCAGGGTAAATATATTAATACAGAAAAAATACAAAAATGTTGTATGAAAAGACCTAACAGAAAGTCCAACTCATACAATACAACACACACAAAACCCAGATAAAGCAAAGATACATAAAAGTAAAAAAACCAAAAAGCCACAAAATGACATAAAAGTGGCGCACAAAAGTGCTAGGGACGTCTCACTTTAGTCCTTCTGTCTCTAGTTCTCGGAAGTGAGCCGGCTAACAAATTAGTAAGGTGAGTATCATTGCCCGTAGTAACAAAAGTATCGTCCATCAGATTTCTGAGCTCAAGTAGATCTTCATTCTTCTTCTTCCTTCTGGTATGTAGACCTGTGATTTCTCGTCTGATGATTGACTCATCTGATCAGTAGATTCCAAAAGTGGTCGGACAGTTGTAAGTCGTTGCACGTCTTGATCCCCACGAGCCTGAGTAATATTAACATCTTTCTGAACCTGATGAGGCAGTAGTGAAGCAGTAGAAATATTTCCACTTGTATCATCAGTGAAGGTTCTAGGGAAGGCGGGGTCTGAAGAAACTCTCTCCCCCATGATTAGAGGTTCCAAAGACGAGGGAGCTACAACTGGGGACTGAATAGTTGTCATACTGCCTGCAGGGATAGTGACGTCATCCGGGATATTC